CAGGCTCAGGTGTGCTGGGCTGTGCTGGATGTGCTCTGTTAGCACAGCCAGAAATGTTGCAGAAGGTTTGGAGTACCAGGGAACTTCAGGGGTTTCCTGGCTGGAAAGCAAGATTCCTCTCTCATCTGAAATGTACTTTAAAGAAGCAGATGTGAGGCTAAGGAAACAGCAATGGGGAAAAACTCCATTAAATTTCAAAATTCTTCAGTCTTACTGATGGAAGACAGTGTTCAGGCCATTTTCTTTACAGACAGATTGCAAAATCTTTAGAATTTGGATTCTTTTTTTCCCCAAACCTCGCTGTTTTTTTCACTGCTTTTTAGTGCTTTAGCTATGACTCATAATGTACTGAATATTTCCAAAATTGATACTTAACTGTAGTGCTCTTAATTCAAATCTGCTGGATCAAAGGGGGAGAGAAAAAGAGAAGAGAAAATGTTTCACATACGTTTTTAATTTGTTCCCAGATAACTGGATTCCTAAGATCATACACTACAGAGAGAAAAAAAAAAAAATACCACACAGCTGAGTCCACCTTTAACAAATGCTGTGACTTAGACCTGAGTTAAACATTAACCTGACTTGGACACAAAGACCTGCTTATGGTGATAGTGCCCAAATCACCATGTTCGCTTGATTTTTGGAACAAAAGTAAGGAAGCTGGCTCCAGTGATTTTCATACTGTGAGAAATCACTAAAAAGTTTTAAAAGTCCATTCTGCTGTGTATAGTAAGGCAGTATCTCTTGGGTTGTAGTGGGTTGAATATTTCATACCACAAGATTTTTATATTTTTAATTAGACAGCAAAGATCATTTTCACATGAATATTCAAGCACTTGACTTCATACCTATTTACTGAAAATACCTGAGGAACACTCATAATTGATGTGCAGAGAGAGGAAAACTGAAGGTTTCTCAGTAATGTTTTCTTAGTTCTTTTATTATTGTTTTTCCAATTATTTGCCTGGTTTTGAACATTTGAAAACACTGTGTGCTTTGAAATGTATTTAATTTGTCTAGAAATAGCAGCCATTGTGCAATATTTTTTTTCTCACTTGTTTTTGTGGAAAAGGAAAAGAAACATTAGAAATCTGTTTGTGTCGTACATTACAAAGACTTGAAACAAACAGGTTTCGAAAACATCCTGGAAAGTTTCAATGATTAGCTTTAATATATGCCATAAAAATCAGTGGTGACCATGAGGAGCTACTACAATAAGTCTGGGTAATACTATATCCCTAAGAATGCTTCAGAGCTTGTAAATATATAGCCCAGGCAGTTAAAAAAATAATAATTTGCATGTTAAGTATATTGCAAAATAATGTTGTTGATAACATTTTTAAGAGAAGCACAGGTTTATTATATCTGTATTTTCCTGTTAAATTTTCTCCTAATCAATTAGTGGAATGAAATGATATTCCACACACTTAAATATCCCAGAAACAAATATTTCCTCCATACTGATGTGCATTTCATAATAAGCATAAAAGCTCTGCTTGTAGCAGGCTGACTTCAGCACCCGAAGTGTGGTTTACGAGAATAATTTGCTATCAGAGGGGATTTCTTTATGTGTTATCATAGGCAGTGAATCAGGCAGCTAGTATTTGGGGTTTTTCAAGTTGTATCCTTTTCCAGGAGGATTTAAGGGAGTTCAGGGATTTCTTTGATGCAGTCTGTTTATTTCCATGGTATGAATATAAGATCTGGTGTTCCTGGGTGCAGCAGGAATTAGGGCAGTAGGAAGCAGGTACAGGAGAGCAGTTTTGCAATACCAGCCATGCATTCTCACGCTGTTATTTGACTTAAAAATCAATCCTAACTAGCTCTCAAGGTCTTGCTGTTGCTGTGATTTCAGGCTCTGCCAGGAGGGGTCTGCTCTTGTTTTAAGTCTAGGGTTGATCCAAGGATTTGTCTGACTGCATGATGATCTGCGTCATGGAAATGATCCAGGATGGAACCGATGCATCAAACTATAATCTTAAATTTTCTGAAAGTCCTTCAGTGATAAACTGGGACATTCATTACAGCTCTCCCATTAAAGGAGACATGGTTAGTGTATTTGATAAGTTCCTTGTCATCTGAATTGCAGGGATGGCGTGGGGGGTGTGGACCCTTGCACTTGCAAGGTAAATGTTTTACTCATATGTCTTCACTCCTCGATAAGAAAGCTAAAACCACATGGCAGAAAAGTAGGTTAAGTCAATCCTAATTCCTTGAAGTCGTTGAATGCTTTGAAATATTTCCCTGTTATGGAAAATGTTTTCTTGTAAAAGGAGTGAAGGAACACAATGTCTGGTTTGTGCAGTGTGGGGTTTTTGTCCCTTTTCTTTTCTTGGTCATCTGGGGAAATCACTCATGTGTGCTTAGCCTTTATTTCATGGAGATGTTTTTCAGCTGTGGGGGTTGTATTTCCACAAAGGTGTTCCAGTGTGCTTTTCTGTTTAAGCCCATGACGCTGTTGGCATAGGAAGTGCACATCCTGCTGCTCTGAAGGGGAAAGTAAAGGATAAATGGTGGAAAATAGGGGCATATCTTTCAGATATTAAGTGATTTTTTTTCATGGCTGTGACCAGTTGTGTTTTACAGGTTTAAAAAAAAAAACAACACAAATGAAGTCTTTTATAACAAAAACTCTAGTCAAAACCTCTGTTCTTAATTTTATCATTTTAACATTGAATCAGCAAGTGCAAGAGGAGTGTGAAATTACAATCCTTGTGTCACACTATATTGGGAATGGCGAAAGTAACGACACAGACTCTCTTGTGGTTGTACAGGAGAGCAAGTTTTATTATTCCTGATCTCCATTTATAGACAGGTCTGAGAAGGTCCAAGAGGTAAAACTCTCATTGGTCATTAAACCAGCACATCACCATCATTGGACAACTGGGAACTACGCCCTTTGACTGTTTCTTCCAAGTAAACAACAGGGATCCAAACAACACCAGGAGATGTTGTTTTTCTTCTCCAAGGACTGTTTGGATTCCTCCTTATGATTTCTCAGGCCAGAATGAGAACCTTGTGTGACTTAGTTTCACACAGGCTCTGTGCTCCCTGACTGCTTTCTTGCATTCGGCATCCATAATCCTTGTATTGCATCCAGCTTCCTCTGTCTTGTGGCAAATGCTTGCCCCCTAGACTTGGCAGCTGGCTCTTGATTCCTGTGGAGGAGGACATCATCACGACACTGGAAATCCAAGGCTTGAGATGGTTCTGAAATGAGTATCTGTGGGTCAGTAATTTAGAGCATCTGCACTGCTCAGCGCTGGGGCCCGCAGGATAAGAAGGATGTGGAGCTACTGAAGTGCAAAGGAGGTTCATGAAGATGATCAAAGGGCTGCAGCATCTCTCCTAAAGCTGGAGTTGTTCAGCTTGGAGAGCCACCCCTCTCCTTGTGCTCTTTTCCTTCTATCTATCTGTGGCTGTGAGGGAAAACAGTATTTCCTGGGCAATGCACAGGGGGAGCTTTCCCTGTGTTTTTGGGGTCTGAATGCTGTTGTTCCCTCAGGGTCAGTAATTCACACACTGGTATTGAGGCATTTGTCATCCCCACAGGGTTTTGTAGGGTCTGTGAGGGTTGGCATGGCTCATGTTCCAGGAAGCACATTGAATCTACATCTGCTTACTGATAGACTGGATTGGGATGAATGTGTTTCCAATATTCTAGACATTCTTTGGAGTAGGAGTGAACATTAATATTTAGATATTTAAAAGGTAAAATCCTGATATTTAATTGTTTTTACCCTATTTCTTTGAAGCATAATAGGTAATTTAACAAAATCTTCATTTGGAATATTGTCCTATGTAAAGAATACTGTTATTTAATTCATAAGCAGAAATTCTTAATGAAGTAATTTAGCTTCTTTTGGATAATCTAGCATGAAAAGTTTTTATAAGTTTTCTGGCAATCTTGAATAAATTGTGCTGGCATATGATGAAGCAGACATTAATTGGCACAGTCAGCTCGCTGTGACTCTGAGTCTGGTCTGGCTGGGCAGGTGTGGCAAAATGGAGGGACAGGAGTGATGGAGTTACCCAAAATACTTTAATGATGGCAAAATACAAACCGTAGAAACCACACATTCTGGGGGCAAGCTCCAGAGACCAGGGGTGTGGCAAATTTAACAATATACAGGGATAATTGAGGGCAGGGGTCCAATTGTGAACATGGACCAGGGACATGACCTATTATGGAATGATCCCAGTAGCATCCTAATTTCCATCCTTTCAGTACCCCGCCTCCCAGGTTTCAGGTTTTTGCCTTCTGTACAAGTCACCTGAGCTAAGACACTATCCGTACCAGCCGGTTCAGTTCCTATACTTAGTGCAAATTAGGGAGACATTTTGACTGCTTTGTGTGCTTAGTTTTCAGGTAATACATTTCAAAATAAATTCCAACAGCTGGAAGTTTGCATAACAGATTAAAAATTATTTAATAGGCCTGTTTAACCTGTGAGATGGAATTTATTTATATTTATTTATATTTAGGACCTTTAAAGGTTACTCTGGTAATACAGTAAAGGAGTTTCCTCATGATTAAACTGTTGTATTGCTAATATCCACCAGAAGTGTTTTTGGGAAAAGAACCTTTAAAACTTTCTTGATAACAGCTATGAAGAAAAAACGTCAAAATGAAAATGCAAAAAAAAAATACTTGTGTGGAAATTGAAATCTCTTGTGCACATGCTGCTGCTGTAGAATATTCTGCTGACCTCCTGATGGTCCATTCAAGCTGTAACATGTTCAGGAGCTTGCTGTCATCTGCCCTGAGCTTTGATGTCAGGTTGCTGAATAGAAAAATCCATACTAGAGTAAGCTAAACACTTGATCTGCACAAGGCCTTGAATTTTAATGCTGTTGACTTGTTTCAAAGAGGGGAAAAAAAAAGCAGTGATCTGAAATTCTGAAATCAACCTTTTGGATACTGGGGGATACAAAGAATTCTCATTTTTCAGGTTGTGTTATGATTAACAGTTTGTTTTTGTTTGTCTGTCTCCTAACAGATTTATACAGATTGGGCTAATCACTATCTAGCAAAATCTGGTCACAAAAGGTTGATAAAGGATCTACAGCAAGATGTGACTGATGGAGTCCTGCTAGCTGAAATAATCCAAGTTGTAGGTGAGTGACTTTCTGTGTTTGGTGCCAAGTATCCACCAGCTCGCTCAGGCAATCCATTTTTTTATTTTCTACACTAACACAGAGTGCATAAGGGGAAATCCATCAAACTGCATAGAATTACATAGATCATTTTCCTTCAGAGGTTTTGCTAATTGATTTGAAAAAGCCTTGTCTTATAGTGGAAAAATATTGGACGTTGATGCAGTAATACATAGCAGTATTATTCCACATGGCTGAATGTTAAAAAACAGCTCATGAGGTACTTTTTTTCTGGTAGGATGCAGTTAGCCCTCACTATTTCTAATACCTCTTCAGTACTGGTCTAAATAAAATTCACAGTGATATTGCCTCCTGTGTTGAACCTCCCGCCTCCAGTTGGATTTGGGAGATCCATATATACAGCTGGGAAAGGAGAAGGGGTTTAATATTTGTGTGGCAGAAAAAGAAATCTTTCATAATGAGCTTTCAGATGAGGAAAATCACTTGTCATTAGAATAAATCTCAAGTGCAATTTTATCCAAAGCCTTTAGTTGTCTTAAATTAGTGCAATAATGCTCATAGATAATGAAAGTTCTGAACAATTTTCATGTAGTGCTGCATATTGTCCCTCTTCCCTTGGGCCTGGATCCTTCATTAGTTCCTTCAGAGGCTCATCCATCTAGTGCTGGGGATGCCACAAAACACATGTATGGGCCAATGGAGATGGATGGAATGGGAAAGCCTGCTAATGGGAATTAGGACAACCATTGTTAGGAGCAAACTGACAGATTTAAGATGCAAATTAAGAAGCCTGCAATGAAGGAACAGGACATCAGTGCAAGCATATTTATTATGTGTGTTTGAGATGCTGTAAGGGAACTAGTTCTGGGTTTAAGGTAGGGATCTACAAGCACTGGTCTGGAATGACACTGTGAAGCATCTTCCAGTGATTCTACTGGGATATGTTAAAATAAGATTTTGTGTCTCTGCTGTAGAGCAACATTATATCTCAGTAGCATTTTAGACCTGCCGTGCAGTTGCAGAGGTGTAAAAACAGGCCATGAATTAATTTATGATTATGACAGGTATTCACAATGAACAATGCTCCTTCCTATATCCATTTCCTTTAATAGGAAAGGTTTTTGGAAACTTGGGAGCAGTTACATGTTGATTCCTTTCATGCCTGTCTAGCTACCCTGCCTTAACACAGTTGTAGGAAACTTCTGCATGAGAGCATGTGTGCAAGAATACCACCATCAAAATGTGGACGTGGTTCTTTCTACCAAATATTTAAATGTATCTCTTTGAGTATTGACTTGTGAAAACTTATATGAAATTAAAATTATTCATTCTAAAATACATAACCAATTATTGCTTTGATCACCTTAGCAGGTTTGGGGTTTTTTGTCATTTTTATAACTGCCTTTTGGCTAATATTTAAGATAAGGTCTGCAAGGTTTCAAAAGTTGGGGTAGGAGGGGAAATATTTCTTTTTCAAATCACCTTTTTCATGTGAAAGAAAGGTCATATTTAAACATTCTAGTTTAATCCTCCACATTAATAGTGAAGAAAAGTAATTTGTATCTTCTGCGCATGGCTTTAGGCAGCTACATATCATTGTCACAAAGGTGAGGAGGGCTTTCACATCTAGAAGCAGCTTTATCTATAACCTGCAAAATCCAACCTTTTTTTCCTAGCTACACAGGAAGAAAGCTTTGATAGGCAGTGCAGGAGAGGGTTTTTTATGTTATGGTGTGCTATGTGTAAAAGCAACTATTTGCAAGGCAGTTAAAATGTATTCATATCATTCTGGTTCATTTCAGTTCAAAATTTATGAGCCTGTAAAAGAATGTAAAAGAATGTCTTAGCAATGCCATATAAACATAGTAGCTGTGTTTAAATCCATGAATGCAGATACACTGGGTCTGACCTAGGTTCTTAAAGGTGTCTCTGTACACACGTCCCAAACAAAAGACAGCTTGTATACAAGTTCATTAGTCTCCTTTCAAGTAATTGTGAATGGTGCCAATTTATAGGAATACAACTATCAATTTTTAAAAGTGTTATAAATTTAGTTGATGGAGATATTGCATGGTACTTAAGTGAGAGATGGTAAATATTACAGGATGGGTGCACAGAACTTGGAAATTGGGATTTAATGAATGCAACTTTGTTTCTGTATGACCAAAGCTGAGATGGTGTTCCTGGAAGCAGTGTGTGCTCTTCATGTGTAGGGGCTGATGGACCACTCTGGGGAGCACACTGTAGATTTAGCTGCAGTCTTTTTCAGATTAGCATCAATTTTTCATTGCATTGCTGTGGGATAAAGGTGTGCTGTGACATGGATATGTAAAAGGGGTCCTATCAGGCAAGAGTGAAGTTGTGTCACTGCTTTGTTTCTCATGGCTATGACTGCTACTCAAATATTGTGCCAAATGTGATCCTCCTAACCGAGGGAATGAAGTGGGATGGAGTTCTGACTGGTGTCCTCAGAATACATGGGACTGCTAGAAAATACAGCTTTTAATGGATGAATCAAATGGGATGTGAGTGCTTGCCTTTATTACAGTGAAAAAACTGTGTGAAACTGAACTTTGGTTGCAACTGGTTCTTCAGACTCAAACACAAAGTCATTTCGGCATTCAAGGCTGCAAGGTGAAGCTGAGCAAACTCAGAGTGTAAGGCAAACACCTTGGCGATTTCACTGTTTCACCTCTAACCTTAAAGGTGGAAACTGTGTTCTTCTGCAGGTTGGAGTAGCATGTAAGCCATGGTCAAGAGTCTTGAAAAGTTATTTAATGATTCGTGCTTTAAAAAAGGAAAAAAAAAATATTATTCGTTTTCATAAATTTCCCATGTGGATTTAAAACCTGTATTCACTCTCCAAGCAAACCAACTGCCATGCTAACATCTCTACATGTGTAGTGCTCACTTTTCCACCCAGCAGTAACTCAGCTTCTAGAGCTCACATCTTTCTTGTAGTTTAAAGGAATTCCCTGTCACAGTACAAGAGGTTGTTAGAGCAGTTGGCTTCTGCCCCAGCTGTCTCTGGAGGCATGACCCAGTAGAGAACTCCAGCTGCTTTTTTTCTTTTTGTGGCTCTCAGTGTTTCACACATTCACTTGGCTTGGACAGCTACAATCCAAAACTCCTTTACTGAGCGGGTGAGCAGGTGCTCAGGAAATCGTTCTAAAAAATAGATGCCTTTGGTTTAGGTTTTCTGCTTTATCACATTTTTGTTTTTGCTTTTCAGCAAATGAAAAGATTGAAGACATCAATGGCTGCCCAAAAAATAGATCTCAAATGGTAAGTAGTAAAGTGGTCTGTTGTTTGTGTGCATGGCTGAGTGAAAGGCTGGGACTTCAATGTCTGAGACTTTTAATAACAATTTTAATTAATTTTTCAAAGTAGTGAACTAAAATTATAATCTTCATAATATTAATATTACAGTTCTTGCCCCATTGCACTCCACAGTAGTTGAATCAGGCCTTATAATTTATCACATTATATTTACAATTGAGATTATTTTTTACATTGCAATTGTAAATTTCTGAAATATCACATAATTGAATAGAAATTTATAGAAATAAAGAATTAGATATTTGAAAGTATGATTGAGTTCCTGTATCTTTTGAAATGAAACAAAGTAAATGAGCAATAGGAATGAAAAGAAAAAAATTCATAAAATTCAAGATGCAATTTGTTGACAAATAAGAAATTGGTGTATCTTGCTTGTGTTTAATATTCAAACCTGGAGAACCAAAAATCAGTCCAGGAAAATGAAAGGCATAAAACACCTCAAGAGTGTATTTGCTTTGAGTATTGCTAAAGGTATAGCAGAATTTTATTAAGAACACAAATAATAAAAAACCGGTTTTTAGAGTATTTAAAATTTATGATACTTCAAACAAGGTTACTTCCTTCTGTATCTTGATGAAAAGTCATTTTACAACATAAATTCTGTTATCTTCTTTTGGCATTGCAAATGCTTGCTTTGGGACACTTGGATGTCTGCTCTCTGTGTGAAGCTATTTTAATGTTTTTTTATTTTTATGAGTGTTCCTGACTGCCCCTACTTTCATGACTTCAACATGAGCACAGCCACTCATGTAGTAAAATAAAATAAAGATTTACAGAGAGCTTGACATCTTAAGTCAAAACCCACACTCTGCTCTGCTCTTCTCCTTTGGCTTTTTGTTATTTCTTGGAAGTTGCCAATCTTGTTGAAACCATGGAGCAAGCGCTCTGTAAAAAGCAAGCCATCAGAAAGATTTATCATTGCTCCTTTTTGCTGCTTTGAAGAAGGTGGTTGCTGTTCTTGCTGTAGCCACTCCAGCAGCTGTCTGGAGTGTAAATAATGAGAAAATTTTGACAATTACTATAATTTAATGTTGCACAAGTGTGTTGTAAGAAGTGATTTTCATTCAGGACTGGAGTCTGTAACCAGTTGCAGGACATTGCAGCTAAAAAAGTCACTTCAAGTCATTATTGTCAATGAAGAGAGTGTTGCTCTATTGGATAGTGGGATGCATGTAGTAGGTTGCTTTTGGAAGCCGGATCAGGTTATAACCAGAGGCATGCAGGGGGCATGTGCTGGGTCAGGAATGCTGGACAGGGCTGGAAGGACACATTTGGTCTGTGCTGCCTCTTCTGACATTACTCCACTGATATTACTCATTCAGGAGGTAGTGGTGAGTGGGACAGTCCCCCCCACTCATAAGACCTGCAGTCACAGCTGGGCATACCCAGCAGCTTTCCTCATGTGAGGAAAATGAGAATTATGCCTAGGGCTTCCTTTTATCAAGTGCACACATGCTTACAGAGCTCTTTGACATCTGACTATAAAAATACTGTGGTTGCCCAGAAAAGCTGTGGCTGCTCCATCCCTGGAAGTGTTCAAGGCCAGGTTGGATGGGGCTTAGAGCAACCTGGTCTAGTGGAAGGTGAAACTAGATGATCTTTAATGATCCTTCCATCCTAAATCATTCCATGTTTCTTCTAAGGCAGAACATAGGAATCTTCATAGGGGTGGTGTTCATGCAGTTACTTGCAGCCCTTTGTCAGGTCCAGGACAAACGTGGTATAGTGCTTGTTTTAGGTACAGCAGTCTTCATCCTTTGCCTTTCAGAGCACTCTATTAATACAGTTTACAGGGTCCTGCAGAGTGTGGTAACTGGTGTTTGTGTCTGGTGACCCTGGCTCAGAGAGGTGGCAGAGGCAAGGCCACCTAGATACTTAGGTAATGTCCAGTCTTCTTTCAAATCCATCTTTCAGTTAGAAATGTCCATATCCATATTGAAAGGTGAGCAGCACAGATGAGGTGATCCGGGGGGATTAAAAAAAAAAAACAAAAAACAAGCACCAATAAATGGAGATTTAACTTTGCTCATTGCAAATCTCAGAGGGAAGAAAACCTTCTACTGTCCTCTTTTCCCTTTGTAGAGTCCCAATGCCTTGAGCAGGCACATGAACTGAGCTGTGAAGAATCAGCTCACTCCCAGCCAGGTGTATCAGCTTAGAAAGCTGGACCAAATCTGTGTAGTCCCAAATCCATTAAAGGACATGGGGAAAAGAAGTGTCTTCACTTCCATGTGGCTCAGTCCCAGGCTGGTGATGCCAAACCTGAGGGAGCTCTCTGCAGAGCCAGATCCAGCCTCTCTGCCTTGTTCACAGTGTTGATGAGACCAGTCAAATTGGCCCAAATGGAGCATTAGAGACAGCTTGGGTCTGTCAGGCTCCAAGCCAGTGCTAATAAGCCTTGTCAAGTGAAGTTTAGTACTGCAGAACGATGTGGGACCATCCATGCTTATCAATCTCATCCCAGTGCCAAAAATGACATGACAAGGTCCCCACTGGCTCCATGACAAATCACTTAGGTGAGAACCTTTCCTCCCATCATTATCCTGTCTGGGCTTTTCTGCTGAGGGGAGTTTTCCTGTCTTCCTTTGCTCCAGATATGAGTTGGCTGGCTTTTATATAATCTATTATAGACTATTCTATAGCTTGTCCTCTGCATAAAATCTGTTTCAGGGCTTTTTTCCCCTCAACCTCTATATTTTTGTACTGTAATTCTGATGATTAGTTCCAGCTGGATGCAGAAAATACTGTGGGTAAGAGAGGATGTACTTGTATGGAGCTCAGGCTCCGGGACCAAGAACATTTGGAGAGCATTGCAGTATTTGGGTTTTTCAAACCCCAGAAAATGTTGGCATAGTTCTTGATAACTGGGTGAAGGGCAATAAATCAAGGCCAGTTTCCTCTCCTACACAGTTCTGAAAAGAAGACCTAGGTGAATAAACCTGAGTAGGGCTATCTCTGTTAATATTGTTTGTTTATAGAAAAACAGATATTTTCCCTTTTTTTTTCTTAGTTGCTTCTTGCTTAGGGCATGATTTTAGAGTTCAACATATGGCACCTTGCAGATGGCAAGGGAGGTTGGTACCTGCCCTCCTAGGTACTATTGATTATTCTTACTGCTGTGGGTGCCTTTGTAAGTGCTGAATGTTACCTCTTGTAAAAAGGTTCATACTATTTGCAGTTGTAAAATGATAAAACCCAAAGTGCATAGTTGTCTATGCTACATTATATATGTATGAATATAGCAAAACTGAAAGGAAGACAATTGGAGAACCTGTGGGTGGATACACCAGACTTTCATCTTCCCCTGTCTGGGGAAGTTGTGGGACACCCAGGACAAGAATTTGGAGCAACAGAACGGCACTTAGGCTTAACTAACACCACAGCACCTCCTGTGAGTAAGTGAGGAAGTTACTGTGATTCGCCTGTGGGTTGGTGCTCGGGCTTTAATATTTTTCTGGATCACTTTGTGTCTGTATCTGTTCTCAAACAGAAAAAGGGAGGTATTTATTTTTTTCATATGTTGACAGGACGTTTTTAAGAATGGATTTTCTGATGCAGATATGAAGCTGTAGTGGTAAACTTGTATCACCCATTCTTCCTACTGCTGTTTGTCTTGGAAACAAAGGATCTTGTACGGACTCCAGTGTAGGTCAGAGCCAGCATTTCTTCCCAAGAACTGTGTGGAAGTTGGGATGAAGGCCGTGTTTTCATAAAATAATTTAATTTTCAAGGAAACCTTACTTCTAGTGATGGGAATTTGACTATTATTTTCATATTTGACTGACTTTTTGTGTTCTGATAATGAGCTATTTTGTAATGTGTGTAACTCCTAAGGGACAGTTTGTATAGAAATTTTCCACCATGGTGGGGACCTTGGTTTTGATTTGAACAGTACTGAGAATATTAATTCAGCTGTTGGGGAAAGGTAACCATTCCCCTCCTTAGTGTGATCCTTGCCAGCTCCATGAATTATTTTTTTTATTGTCAAAAGAGCATAGATGTTGAAATCTCCATTACTAATTTCTGAGTATGGCATGTGTTAGTCATATTTCTGAGTTCTTTTTCTCGAGAACTTTGGTGAATTGATGTAACAGATGTGAGTGCTGCCATGATGTGGTCCATACTCACAGGCTATAGGTGGGCTCACACATTCATGACTTGGTTGGAAGGAATAATATGAGCTGAAACCATGTGCATGCATCTGCATAACCCAAGCAGCTCTCTATGTGTGTGTAATACCTGCTAAGGGAGGGAGCTGCTGTGTTATGTATAAATAACTAAAAATAGCTGCCCTATTTATAAAAAAAAACCAACAATAATAATAATAATAATAACAATAAAAAAATCTTAGTTACCTGTTTTCTCACAGAAAATAATTCTGTCTCTGCTCTTTGAGAACAGGCGCCCACTTTAACCTGCTCCTCTAAACGTTTTGAGCAGTTTTATACAGCCACTGTTGTCCAAACATTGCTGTAGGAAGGTGTAATAAATCTTCCAGGCTGTTGCTCCTATGAGTATGTCCTCTGAGTCCCAAAGCCAAGGAGAGCTCTGCTGCTGGGGCATGTGCTGCTAATTCAGGGGAGCAGCCCTGCTGGAAGATCAAAAGCATCACAAGCACATTTCTTCTCCGTGGATTTCTAGCATAGGATTTTTGGAAATGTATCCCAGGGGTTAAATATAGCTGTGTATTTTCAAGTAATCCAACTCCAAGGCTGAGCAAATGTAGTAGAGGGAACTTTCCCATCATCTAAGCCTTCCCCCACTTTGCCGGGGGAGTTTGTAACCAGGAGCATATGTTTGGAAATTTAATCTGGTTTGATGTTACCATGGTAACAGATGGGTATCTTCTGGCCCTAACCTGTGGTGCAGTTCCCCACAGCTGAAGGTCAGCTAAGGGGGAAGACATCCCCCAGTGCCCTGGCCAGTGACAGACACCAGCTTAGATG